TTGGCATAAAGATCGCAAAGACGCTTCTGAGGAGCCAAGCGGGATTTGTGGGACGACGACGTCCGCGACGCAAGGACGATGTCGATTTGGAGAGTATCTGCAGGGAGGTAACGTTCCTGATGAATACTCGTCCGTTGGATTATGCTAACTCTGACGAGCCATCTGGCGAGTTTGTCGTGGTTACGCCTGATCAATTGGCTCGTGGATTTACTCGTAAGCGAGGTTGCGTCCTCGCTGGTGGCTCTTCTACTCTTCCTATTTCTCACCGCGTTAGAGCAGTGCGGTGTTATTTCCTGAATGAGATGTTCCGCGACATGAGGATGGCTGTCGCTCGCTCTATGGGGTACCAGAGCTTGAAGAACAAGATCCTGAAGCCTACGATTGGTGACCCAGTGCTGATCTACCATCCGGAAAAGAAGCTGAGCCCCGGATACCGTTTGGGTCATGTGAAGGATCTGCTAGATGAAGGTAGAAGGATCCGTATTGTCTTAACTGACGGTAGCGTTGTTGATCATCATCACTATAATGTTGTGCCGATTCTGCATCACCCTCAATTGTCGGGGCAGAGGGGGCGTATTGAGGATTGACGAGCCCGGTCTTGCTTTGTTCGTGCGTGCAGTCCTGTGTACGTGCGTGCCCCGCAATTGATGGTGTTTTTTCCCTGAGCCATTATATTAAATGACATTGATACGCTCAATCTCAGTTTCACAACCGTAAACTTGTCTACTCGTTGTTAATAACAGGAACACTCAGTGTGGGAAAATAGTATTTTCATATTTTATAATCCTCAAAATATGCCCAGCCACATATGTTGGTGACAATATGAAGATCCTGAGGAAACTTTGGGAAATTCTCGTTGGTTTCTATACATTTCTACCCGAATTCGTATATAACCTCCTAGGGTCAGCTGAGAAAAGCGGACACATAATACATCTCTGGAATGACCTCTGTTTTCAGTTTCACGTATAAGAGTGCAGCGTTGTTCGTATGCGTCGGCTCGTTGGTCCTATTAATGGTAGAATTGTAAGTAATTTTCACTACTTCATTAGTTCTTAGAGTTGCTCTTCAGTGCGGACTACCAGCGTAAACACGGCGTCGGGCGGTCCCTCGCAGAAGTTGAGGAAATCGGCAAACCGAAGTTGGGAGGTCCATGGACCCTCGTAGACTGTCGTAAGCCTTCTCTTTGTGGTGACTGAGGGGATGCGTTATCATTAGGAAATGGTAAACCGGTGGCATCGGAGCAGTTGAGGGGGAAATATTATCTCATTTATTTTGGCTTTACTTTTTGTCCGGACATATGCCCTCAAGAACTCGAGAAAGCCGGCAAGGCGGTGGACATCATAGAAAAGGAATTTGGAGCTGGTAATTCATCTGTGGTGGTTTACCGCTGTACGCGACTGTTAGGTACCATAGTGCCGATCTTCGTGACCGTTGACCCTAGTAGAGACACATGTGCACAGGTAGGGCTAATCGATGATGACTATCATGTTCTCTATGGCAGACCTCTCTTTATCTAAGCGAGTTTGATCCGCGAACGATCGGTCTCACGGGCACTCACGAACAAATAAAAGACATCACCAGGAAGTTCCGCGTGTAGTCGGGCATTGGCACGATTTGTTGAACTATGGAGATGTTGTTGTTGGAAAATATGCTGCATTTACTCGGCTCAAGACTTTCCTAACTTCATCATGAAAATTTACATTTGATTTAGGGTAGAAACAGTGTGGGAAAATATGCAAAAGTCTGATGACAGAAAGTCTGAGGAAACTGAGGGAATTTTTATTGGTTTCGGTACACTTCTACTCGAATTCGTGTGTGTAAACTTTCTCTGATACCCGAACCCAGCTGAGAAAAGCGAACATATACTCCAACACTGGGTAGAAATATACAGGAACCAAAAACGACAAAAAATAAATGAAAATTCACCTAGAATTTCCTCAGCATTTTCATATTGTCATCAGTACACGTAGTTCACCATGTGTGCATATGGTGGTCGGCCTTAGGTATTACAACCAGGGTATTCGAACTGACTCTGAGGACTATTTGGTTGATCATTCGATCATACACTATCTGATGGGCCCT